CGACCCCATTCGTAGCAAAACTAATTACTAGGCGAGCATAGGCACGAGCGTCAAGGGTGAGCTTTTGACGCTACTCCGCTTGTTTGAGGCGCAAAGGTCGCTAGTTACACTGCACCTGTCCGTGCCGACCTGGTGATAATGGACCTTTTCGTCTAGAAACGGAACATGGCTGCTGACGTGGATTCGGCCCCATTCGTAGCAAAACGAATCACATAGGCGAGCATACCAGGAGCAGCAGGGGCGAACGTTTGACGCTACGCCGCTTGTTTGAGGCGCGAAGTCCGCATTTAACACTGCACCTGTCAGTCCCGACCTGGTCATAGCGGACCTTTTCGTCTGGAAACGGAACATGGCTGCTGACGTGGATTCGGCCCCGTTCGTAGCAAAAACCAATTACATAGGCGAGCATAGGCACGAGCGTCAAGGGCGAGCTTTTGACGCTACTCCGCTTGTTTGAGGCGCAAAGGTCGCTAGTTACACTGCACCTGTCCGTGCCGACCTGGTGATAATGGACCTTTTCGTCTAGAAACGGAACATGGCTGCTGACGTGGATTCGGCCCCATTCGTAGCAAAAACGAATCACATAGGTGAGCATAGCAGGAGCAGCAGGGGCGAGCTTTTGACGCTACACCGCTTGTTTGAGGCGCGAAGGCCGAATATTACACTGCGCCTGTCGACCCCGTCCTGGTGACAGTGAACAGTTTCGTCTGGAAACGAAACATGGCTGCTGACGTGGAATTCGGCCCCATTCGTAGCAAAAACGAATCACATAGGCGAGCATAGGCACGAGCGGCATGGGGCGAGCTTTTGACGCTACTCCGCTTGTTTGTGGCGCGAAGGCCGAATATTACACTGCACCTGTCCGTCCCGACCTGGTGATAATAGACCTTTTCGTCTGGAAACGGAACATGGCTGCTGACGTGGATTCGGCTCCATTCGTAGCAAAAACAAATTACATAGGCGAGCATAGGGACGAGCGGCAGGGGCGAGCTTTTGACGCTACTCCGCATGTTTGACGCGCGAAGGCCGCATATTACACTGCACCTGTCAGCCCCCACCTGATAATTGCGGACCTTTTCGTCTGGAAACGCAACGTGGCTGCTGACGTGGATTTGGCCCCATTCGTAGCAAAAACAAATCACATAGGCGAGCATAGCAGGAGCAGCAGGGGCGAGCTTTTGACGCTACTCCGCTCATTTGAGGCGCAAAGGTCGCTAGTTACACTGCACCGGTCAGCCCCGACCTGGTGATAGCGGACCTTACGTCTGGACAACGGAACATGCGCTACTGGACGTCAGATTCTCGGCCCCGTTGGTAGCAAAAACCAATTTACATAGGCAGAGCATAGGCACGAGCGGCATGGGGCGAAGCTTTTGACGCTACTCCGCATTGTTTACGGGGCGAAGGCCGCATATTACACAGGTGTTGTGTAATAGGCGGCTCAGTCCCGACTTTGTGATGGCGTACATTTTCGTCTGGACACGCAACGTGGCTGCTGACGTAGATCTGGCCCCATTCGTAGCAAAAACCAATTTCATAGGCGAGCTGAGGCACGAGCGGCAGGGGCGAGCTTTTGACGCTACTCCGCTTGTTCGAGGCGCGAAGGCCGCATATTACACTGCACCTGTCAGCCCCGACCTGGTGTGCAGCAGGGCTGCCGTAGCTTTAGCGTAAGAGGAAAACGTTCGACTCAAAGAGTCACTAATACTAAGTTCCTTATCCAAAGGACACTTACCGCCCAAGACCAGGGCTCAAAGTTAACACCTTAACTTTTATGATTCAAAACCAGAAGTGTTTCATTTACTATTGTTGCGGCCAAGCCGCCTAGGGGTAAATGTATTTGTTTAACTATCTAGCATAGTTAAACCTAATCAAATGCATAACGTGTGGCTTTCGGCCAACGTACTGAGAGATATTGTTAACTCTCCAGCTTATGTACTGAGAGTTTGTTAGCTCTTCGGGTACTTCGTACCCCTGTGTGTTCCACACTATGTAACCCCGTTACACTCTCCCCCACTAAGATGATAACATTCCGTTTTCGAAACCTTCCTCAGAGAGGTCACGTCTTGCCAAGACAGCGGAGGTTACTACACC